GCTCAATAGGCAGAGCATGTGACTCTTTTTTTTTTTTCAATTAAAAAATTTTTTTAATGTTTATTTTTAAGCGAGAGGGAGACACAAAATCCGAAGCAGGCTCCAGGCTCTGAGCTGTCAGCACAGAGCTCGAACTCAAGCGCCGCGAAGCTCCTCTGACCTGAGCCAAAGTCAGATGCTTAACAGCTGAGCCACTCAGGCGCCCCAGGCACGTAACTCTTGATCTTGGGGTTGTGAGTTCAAGCCCCATGTTAGGGGTAGAGATTAAAATATTTTTAAAAAGAAATAAAAGGCAAAACTAAGACCAAAATTGGAACTGTCAGCAGCAAGAACTTAATGGGAACCACACTTCCTTGTTCACCACTCTGTCTAAAGGAGACTAAGGCAAAAGTACCGTAGCGTGAGGGAAAAACGACTACTTTCTGCTTGCTAGATGCATTGGGTCATAGACCCATACATGGGTATAAAGCATCCGCTCTGTATGAAGCACAGTGCTAGGCACGTGGTACGCTGGTAAATAAGCCATGGCCTCCTCTCAAGTGGCTCATAATGCAGTTGCAGCGGCGGCTAAGTAAATACGTGCAATTCTGTGTTGTGTTGAGTGTTCTGGAAGTGTATATGGTCAGAGTCTGTCAGAAATGGACGGGAACTAAGTCACACTTTTTGAAGTTTTTAGTATTTTCGGTATTTAAGGGGCACCTGGGCTCAGTCGGTTAAGCGTCCGACTTCAGCTCAGGTCATGATCTCATACTTCATGGGTTCAAGCCCGGCGTCGGACTCTGTGTTGACGGCTCAGAGCCTGGAGCCTGCCTTGGATTCCGTGTCTCCCTCTCTCTCTGCCTCTACCCCACTCACAGTCTGTCACTCTCTCTCTCTCAAAAAAAAATAAACATTAAAAAAATTTTAAAGTATTTAAAAAATGACAGAACAGTGTTTACAAAAATTAGAGTATATATATTTTTAAATTTTTAATGTTTTATTTATTTCTGAGAGAGAGAGAGCATGAGCAGGGGAGGGTCAGAACCCATGAACTGAGATCGTGACCTGAGCCGGTGTTGGACGCTTAACCGACTGAGCCACCCAGGCAGCCCAAAAATTAGAGTATATTTTAAATGTTCATAAATAGGGGCGCCTGGGTGGCTCAGTCGGTTAAGCGTCTGACTCTTGGTTTCAGCCCAGGTCATCATCTCACGGTTCTTGGTTTCAAGCCCCGCATCAGGCTCTGTGCTGATGGTATAGAGCCTGCTTGGGATTCTGCCTTCCTCTCTCCCTGTCCTTCCCCTGCTTGCTCTCGCTGTCTCTCTCTGTCTCTCTCTCAAAAATAAATCAACATTACTTTTTTAAAAATGTTCATAAATAACAAAATAGTGATTTCAACACATTCTAAAATACAAGGGAATATAATTACGCTTTTTAGTGGCACCTGGGTGGCTCAGGGGGTTAACCAGGCTGTTAGGAAGGCTCCTACCCTTTCTTGTTTATCAGGATACTAATAACTCAAGGCTTTTCATCGTCTACCTTCTTTTTCCCTTTTATTTTTTTAATTTTAAGTTTTTTATGTTTTTTAAATGTTTATTTATTTTTGGGAGACAGGGAGAGCACAAGCAGGGGAGGGGCAGACACACACACACACACACACACACACACACACAGGATCTGAAACAGGCTCCAGACTCCAAGCTGTCAGCACAGAGCCCGACGCGGGACTTGAGCCCATGAAGCATGGGATCATGACCTGGGCCAAAGCCAGTTGCTTAACTGGCTGAGCCACCCAGGCGCCCCCTTTTCCTTTTTAAAAATTTATTTGTTTTTGAGAGAGAGACAGAGTGTGAGTGTGGGAGCGGCAGAGAGAAAGGTAGGCAGAGAATCCGAAGCGGGCTCCAGGCTCCAAGCTGTCAGCACAGAGCCCAAAGCGGGACTTGAACTCATGCACAGCAAGATCATGACCTGAGCCGAAGTCAGATGCTTAACCGACTGAGCCACCCAAGCACCCCTACCTTGTTTTTTTTAATGTTAATTTTTGAGAGAGAGAGAGAGAGAGAGAGAGAGTGAGCAGGAGAGGGGCAAAGAGAGAGGGGGACAGAAGATCCGAAGCAGGCTCTGTGCTCACAGCAGGGACCCCGATGTGGGGCTCGAACTCACGAGGTGAGAAATCATGACCTGAGCCGAAGTTGGGCCCTCAACCTACTGAGCCCCCCAGGCGCCCCTTTTCATCGTCTGCCTTATTTAACTTCGCCCCCATAACTCTCCAGCACTAATCTTCTGTTCTAGCCATTTTGGTCTTCTCCCTGGACATACGATACTAATTCCCAGCTCCAAGCCTTTTCCTGCGTTGTTTCTCTTTCTTAGAGTGCCCGGATCTTAGCCCTCATCGCCGTCTTATCCATCTTACCCAACTCTGCCACAAAGATTTCACAGCTGTCCCAGTCCACAGCAATCTGACTCTTTTCTGCGGTCTTGGAGTATTTTGTCTTTATGTTATTCAGTTGGTACTTAACCATATACAGGCAAGTCCCAGCTGGCAAAGTGCTGTTATGTCCGATACCTCATTTGTAGGTCAGCTGTTGGATGCGTGATGAATTTCCCTGTAGAAACAACATTTTCTACCTTATTTAATCCTTCTGTGACTCTAACATGGAGCTGGCCATTATTTTCGGTGACTGGGAGGTCAGGAAAAATTGGGTCACTGAAAATCATCCAGGAGGGCCACAAGACAGACAGGTTCCATAGCGCTCTCTCGTGTCACTGTGAAACGTACCTGTGACTCAGGAAGGAGCTTGCTCTTCGTTTTCTCTGCTCTGAAGTTTTGCTCTCCTGTTTAGCAAGTCACCCAGCCCACTGGGTCCCTGTGAGCTGGGTGGCAGCCATTTTAGGGCTGATGAGGGCAAGGGGTTGGAGATGAGAAACCTCTTCCTGCGGTGTCCTCTAAGATGTTCCGATTCACGCACTTGCTTATTCTGTAACGAGAAAAAACTCTGCACGGAGATTTGTACAGACTTTACATGTAGGATACAGCGGAAAGAACCGAGGGGGAAACACTGAGGAGGTAAGAGAATGCAGAAGGAATACAAGGAACTGAAAATTAAAGGCTGCGTCTTTGCAAGATGTTAACAACCGTTGGCTGGTGACAGGCAGACAGAACAAAGGCTTAAAATGAGCTTGTCAAGAGATGGTACTCGATCGTTGAGCTTTCTCCTGGCTTTTACCTCTGAAAATGTCAGCCATTTCCAAAAAAAAAACCAAATCAGAATCAGATTTGCGTAGGCCCGAGGCAGGACTAGCACTAAGCAGAATAAACGTCCCTATTTAAGGAACGAGTAATCTTTGGTATTGAACTGCCTCCTTTTTTGCACCCTTCCCAGCTCCCCCTCTTTCTTCTAGTATCTCTAGTTCTTTCCAAATGCCTAGCTTGTGCTTTTTTTTTTTAAACATTTTTTAAAGGTTTCTAAAATTTATTTTTGAGAGAGAGATACAGAGCAAGCAGGGGAGGGACAGAGGGAGACGGAGAGAGAATCCCAAGCAGGCGCCACGCTGGCAGCGCAGAGCCTGATGCAGGGCTCGAACTCACAAACTGTGAGATGATGACCTGAGCGAAAATCACGAGTTGGACCCCCAACCAACTGAGCCCCCCCAGGTGCCCCAGCTTGTGCTCATTTTAAAGGTATCGTGACCTAAGTAAGCTTTCATCCACTGATAGAACATTGAACTTTTAAATCTTACCATCTCAGGTATTAGGAGAGATTTTTTTTTTCTTTTATAGTTCACTGTCAAGTTGGTTTCCATATAACACCCAGTGCTCAACCCAAGTGTCTTCCTCCATGCCCATCACCCTCCTTCCCTTCTCCCCCACCCCCATCAGCCCTCAGTTTGTTCTCCGTATCCAAAAGTCTCTCATGGTTTGTCTCCCACCCTCTCCCCAACTAGTTTTTCCCCTTCCCCTCCCCTATGGTCCTCTGTTAAGTTTCTCCTTTTCCACTTATATGTGAAAACATATGGTATCTGTCCTTCTCTGCCTGACTTATTTCGCTCAGCATAACACCCTCAAGGTCCATCCACGTTGCTACACGTGGCCAGATTTCACTGTTTCTCATCGCCATGTAGTATTACATCGTATAGATAAACCACATCTTCTTGATCCATTCGTCTGTTGATGGACACTTAGGCTCTTACCAGGTTTTGGCTATTGTGGAGAGTGCTGCTATGAACATGGGGGTCCATGTGCCCCTGTGCATCAGCACTCCTGTTTCCCTTGGGTGAATCCCTAGCAGTGCTATCGCTGGGTCATAGGGGAGTTCCCTATTTTGAGGACCCTCCACACTGTTTTCCAGAGGGGCTGTACCAGTTTACATTCCCACCAACAGTGCAGGAGGGTGCCCGTTTCTAGGAGAGCTATTTTAAAGCGGGTTGTACGTGTCTCTCACCCTTCAAATCATGCCATGTAAGTGCTGTCTGTATGAGAGCAGTAAGAACGTGCCGAACTATAAGGCAGTCTGATTGCTCCCTGCTGTTGACACTAACCTTGGCTCCTTGCTCTTTGCTGTCTCCTGTGAACGCCCATCACTATTGTTCCCTTTCTTATAATTCACAAAAATAAATGCAACTAATTGCCTAGCACTGACATTTAACCAGGAATGACACGATTGCTCTATGTTTCTCTGAAACTAAAACAACACTTGAAAAATCATTCATTTAAATGCTTTCCCCTTGAGGTTACATTACTCTGAAAGCATTTTATTTTTGCCTGTGTGATGTTACTATAAATCTATTTAACAGGAATCTTTCTCTTTGTTGTTCCAGGAAACTGACCCTAAAATGTCTGCATCGTTTGTTTTTTGTTACGGTTTTACAAGTTCATTATTATTATACAGGTATCATGTTTCAGGGTGACCAGTTTTTATAACGTTCTAACATATGAGGTAGAATATAGATTATTCACTTGAGACACATTGTAATTTGGCTTTTTCTATTGTCTTCATTTTTTTATGTGTTTTCTAATACAGATGACAAATTATTTAATAAGCTAGAAAATATAAACACTGACTCAGGCAATGAAGAGGAACGGAAACATAAGGAAAAGGACCAAGCTTCAGGACAGCGATCAAATGTTCATAGACGTCGCCAGCATAAAGGTAAACGTTTCCTAAAACTCAGACATCCTAAAGAATCTGAAATATTTGTGAATAGCTAGGTAAGCAAGTTCACAAACGTGGAGCGTATTCTAAAATTGCATCACGTTGCTCGTTTCATTTTTTTCTTGGAAACGTAGGCGTATCCGTTCGGTAAGAATTTATGCCATGACAAATGAAAAGGAATTTCTCATTTCTGTGTGGCACTCCCTTAAGGGAGAGCAGGATGAGAATGAGAAATGTTTTGCACCCGTTCACAGGCCTGGCGTGTAGGTCCAAGTCCACCTTCGGGAGGTAACACAGGAGGCTTACAAGCCTGGTTAGTCACCCGAGCACGATGGCCTCCACAGTCTGAAAAAAAAAAAAAAATGAATGCTCATACAGCAGAGCAGGAAGAAAGGCTTCTTTTTGGGTTTCCAATCCCATGGGTCAGGGCAGTGCACACAGTTTAATAAGCACGAGCTGCAGATCGCCGCTGCAGAGAAGTCTGTTCCGCGGTTAAGGATCTCCATGGATCAGTCAGCAGCCTGGAGCCATCTTGAGTGTGTGCGTGCCCGAAGCCAGTTCGACCCAGCCTCTTACAGTCTTTGTTTGAACCTTTCAGTGGCTTAGCAGGTTCTGGGAAAAGGAGGGCTGGTGGTTATTACAGGTTATTACCCGCTAAGAATGGGGAGGTGGCCCATTCTGTTTCTAAATGAGCCTTTTGGAGATCCATATTGTCTGTTTCTTAAACTATCTTTACACCCAGAGCACAGCAGGTGACCGAGGGAAATAGTCACATGACTGATACAAAGCAGACTGTTTTTCTCCGTCTCCTTTTTCTAGTAGGGTGTTCTTCCAGCTAATTTCAGATAGTGTGCCCCAACTTCGTTGTCATACGGAAACAAAATTGAGGTGTCATGTAGAAAGAAGATTACTATATTAAGCTATGCAAATGGAACACGAGGGCAAAGGCTGTTCTAGAATTCGGTGAGAGTCTCAGATGATATCAGACTGATGAGATGTCAAGTTTTGCAAAACCCAGGGCAGAGCCTTAAAACGGTGAGGTCACAGGTAATATTTCTGAACGATTGTTGAATTTCCTGACTGAAAATACAGAAAATAATAATTTTTCAAGGATTCTCACGATCCAGAAACAACGTCGAAAAAGGAAATCAAGATAAGAAACCACACCAAGAACCTTCTGAATTCAAGTCTGACCACAGCTCTTCAGACAAGCAGCCCGTGGATAATCAGGTAAATGTAAACACTGAGAGTTAACCAATATAAAAGGTCCTAAATTTAATGTAATTCTTACTATTAAAGATTATCTTCAATTTCATTGAGAGCAGAGATTGCTTCTTAGTCCCCCCTCAGGGCGCCTTGGACATAATTTAAACCCAGTATTTGTTCATTGATTATTTTCCCTCTGTAACCATTTTAATAAACATTTAATTGTTGCTATTTTCAGTCGTTGCTAGAAATTTTGAATTTATAAAGTGCCAAAATAGATGATTGGTTTTGTGATTTGTCTTGCATAATCATTCTCATTTTTGCCCTCATATAGAGTCTTTGATCTTAAGGTATAGTGTAAAACAGCTTTAGTAGACTTGGGAGTGAATTGTATAAACCAGAAGTCAGGGGCGCCTGGTTAAACAGTAGGTTAACCAGTAGGTTAAACATCCGACTTCGACTCAGTTTGTGAGTTTGAGCCCCACATCGAGCTCTCTCCTGGCAGCGCAGAGCCCAATTCGGATTCTGTCTCCCTCTCTCTCTCCCCGCTCCCCAGCTCATGTATGCCCTCTCTCTCTCTTTGTTGAAAATAAATAAAAACATTAAAAAAAAAAGAAAGAAAAAATTCTACTTAAAAAAAACCCTAGAAGTCACGTGATATAGGATATGAAATATACTCCGGGTCCAACTGGTGGGACACACTATAATTGTACAAAGACATCACTTCTGAACTTGTGTAAGTGAGCCAGTCACCAGACAAGAATTGGAGAGGTCCTCATATCCAGATTCATAAGCTAACATTGATGCTGCCCTTTCAGCTGGGCCTATAAACTGATTCTTCCTAAGGCATTATGTGGTCATTTAGTAAAAAGCATGGCGGTTTTGGGAAAGTAAACCGTTTTGGTCAAATTATATAAACGCCAATCTTTTTCTTTTTTGGAGGGCAACATGTTGCATTTTCAAATAGAGGATTAATTTGAATTGATTTAGCAAATATTGATTAAATGTCTACCCGATGCAGGTACTATGCAAGATACTAGAGAAGTCCTGCCTCACATAATATATGTGGCCATAGCAGAAAAAGATAAAAGAATTTAGTGCCAGGCAAGTTGCAATATGTGTTCTAACGTATACACATTATATATTGTGAGGGGGCAGTAATCATGCTGATTGGGAGGGCTTGGGAAAGTTTGATTTAACAAGTGACCTATAATCTGTAGGATCAGGAGGTTTTTTCATAAAGTTTGGAAAGAAGGATATGAGTTTATATCTGCTATATAGTCTGAGATGCATAAATGAACTGAGAATTATTGTAAAATAGTATTTGCTTCTTTTTTAACGTTTATTTTTGAGAGAGAAAAGAGACAGCGCGTGAGCAGGGGTGGGGGAGGGGCAGAGAGAGAGAGGGAGACACAGAATCCAAAGCAGGCTCCAGGCTCTGAGCTGTCAGCACAGAGCCAGACTCGGGGCTCGAATTCATGAACCATGGGATCAGGACCTGAGCCCAAGTCGAACACTTAACCGACTGAGCCACAAAGGTACCCCCCCTTTTTTAAAAAGTTTTAACACTAACATAGTTAACACACTAATTTCAAGTGCACAATATAGTGATTCAAAAATTCTCAGTATTTTCAAATTTAAAGCATGTTTTATAATGCTTATTTATTTACTTTTGAAAGGCACGGAGAGACAGAGAGAGAGGGAGACAGAGAATCCCAAGCAGGCTCCACACTGTCAAGTATAGAGCCCGACGCTGGGCTCGGACCCACAAACCGTGAGATCATGACCTGAGCCTAAATCAAGAGTCTGATGCCCAACCGAGTCCCCCAAGTGCCCCTAAAGCACCTTTCTATCTCCCATACTTAATTTTTTTAATTTTTAAATTTTTTATATTTATTTATTGTTGAGAGACAGGGAGAGACAGAGCATGAGTTGGGGAGGGACAGAGAGAGAATGAGACCCAGAATCCGAAGCAGGCTCCAGGCTCCAAGCTGTCAGCACAGAGCCCGACGTGGGGCTCGAACCCACAAACTGCAAGATCAAGACCTGAGCCAAAGTCGGACCGTTAACCGACTGCGCCACTGAGGCACTCCTCTCTCATACTTTTGAGACTTTTGAGACTGTCATTGTAGCAGAACTCACCAGAAAAACAAAGTACTCTGAGCTCAAGAAATCTATTAAAATGTAAGCACAAGTATTTCACCGATACATTGGATAACAATTATAGTTTTCAATCATGTTTGAAATTCTAATAACCTGGTTTGATACTGCACAAGATTTAGTCTCAATATCAGTAGAATACAATTGTATTTATTCAATACAGTTCTTTTTTATCGTCTCTGTTGTTTATCAGAAAACTAACGTACGTTTCTTTTTTGAAAAGGAGAAATTTGTCGTATCCAAGTGGATGAAAATGTTTTTTATATAGACATTTGTAAAAATAGCGCAAGTTCCTTTGGAAGGGTACTTGCTTCCATATGGGCCTTTAGGAGATGGGTCTCAATCCTTCCTGCTGACTCTTTATGCAGCCAACACTAATCACTTAGAAAAGGGAAGAGGTACCTGTGCCTTCCACCTAGTGTCCTTATGTTTTATGGTAGAAAGGCTGGAGAGTAACTGTGGCTTTGTGCTTTAGCAAAGGAACAAATTTGTCATAGTGTTTTTCTTTTTTAAATGAAAGCAACGAGATATTTTTTAATGTTTATTTATTTTTGAGAGAGAGAGACAGAGTGTGAGTGAGGGAGGGGCAGAGAGAGAGGGAGACACAGAATCTGAAACAGGCTCCAAGCTCTGAGCTGTCAGCACAGAGCCCGATGCGGGGCTTGAACTCCTAGAGTGCGAGATCATGACCTGAGCCAAAGTCGGACGCTCAACCGACTGAGCCACCCAGACGCCCCTGAAATTTTTTAAAAAATATCTCTTCAGGGGGCACCTGGGTGGCCCAGTTGGTTAAGCGTCTGACTTTGGTTCAGGTCATGATCTCACAGTTTGTGGGTTCGAGCCCCACATCGAGCTCTGTGCTGACAGCGAGCTCAGAGCCTGGAGCCTGCTTCCGATTCTGTGTCTCCCTCTCTCTCTGACCATGCCCTGCTCACGCTGCCTCTCTCTCTCTCTCTCTCTCTCAGAAATAAATAAGACATTAAAAAATTTTGTAAAAATTTGTGTTTATTTTTTAAGAGGGAGAGAAAGCAAGCCAGGGAGGGGCAGAGAAAGAGAGAGAGAGAGAGAGAGAGAAACTCCAAGCAGGCTCCACACCGTCGGCGCACAGCCTGATGTGGGGCTCAAACTCACAAAGAACCGTGAGATCATGATCTGAGCCGAAACCAAGAGTCAGACACTTAACCGACTGTAGCCACCCAGGCGCCCCTGTCATATTTTTCATTTTACTTACGTTTTATGTGATTCATATTCTTTATATCAGTACTTCCCTGCCTTTTAACAGTTGCTTTCTGCGTCTGCCAGTGTTCTAAGGAAAGGCACAATGGTACGCCTAGGGCATGTTTTGTTTGCCAGGCAATATTTACTAGCGGAAAGCTTGTGGTCTGTATCCTTTCGTCCCCTTGCATTTATGTAACATCATAGAGATCTGTCAAAGGTTTCACCATTTCCATTTGGCTGGTTGCTCTATTGCCCTTTTGTTTTAAAACTTGAAAAGGCCGAAAGGCTGTGTTGTTGCCAGGTCAATTTATTTATTGAACGGGATTAAGTCAACCTTCTGCTTTCTTTATTGCTATCTTTCCCCTCATTTATTTGTCTTTCTTTCTAGAATTAAGTATTAATTTATGTTGAAGAGATAGTCTCTTTTTAATGATCCCAAGCAGGTGAGGAGTAAATAGTATGATTTTGAATACTTTCCTTTGGTTCTAGGGATTTGTACTACAAAATATTAAATATTCTCTCCTCAGCTATAAAGTCACAGAATCTGTCGTTTCTTTACTTAAAACACCTTGGGATATATTCAGATTTGCAAAGCAACCCATTTTCTATATTTAAAACTTTTTTTTTTTTTGAGAGAGAGAGAGCGAGCATGGGAGAGGGGTAGAGAGAGAGGCAGAGAGAGAATCCCAAGCAGGCTCCACATCCAGCACAGAGCCTGATGCGGGGCTCGATCTCACAATAGTGAGAGCGTGACCTGAGCTGAAATCAAGAGTTGGACACTTAACTGACTGAGCCACCTAGGTGCTCCTACATTTAAAACATTTTATTAAACTTTATTTTTTTATTTTTATTTTTTAAAAAGTTTTAAATGTTTATTTTTGAGAAACAGTGAGACAGAGCAGGGGAGAGACAGAGAGCAAAGGAGACACAGAATCCGAGGCAGGCTCCAGGCTCTGAGCTGACAGCTAGGGCTCGAACTCACAAACCATGAGATTGTGACCTGAGCTGAAGTTAGACGCTTCACCGACTGAGCCACCCAGGTGCCCCTAATTATACTAAACACTTACATGTATGATATTCTTTGTGCCAGTGACATGGGATCTGAGTTTTCTCTGCAAATTAGTTCTGAAAACTTTATAAAAGTAGAGGCAATGAAGTTCTTAAAAAAGAAATTGTCCATAGAACTGGCTTTGACCAAATAGCATTATATTTGTTTTGCAAAATTGTGGGTTTTTTTTTTTGCAGAAGTGCAATGACAATTCCAACTCCCAGGCAGAGAAGAGTGGAAGCCCGTCGGAGGAGAACCAGCAGCAGTTGGAAGGACCTCAAGGCCAAGCGTCAGAAAACAATCGTTCAGAGAGATCTCAAGGCCAGTTGGAGAGTTCTTCTGATCAGTCAGAGAGATCTCGTGGCCAGTCAGAGAGTTCTCATGACCAGTCTGATACATCTTGTGACCAATCGGAGAGATCTTGGGCCCAAACAGAAAGATCTCGTGGCCAACTAGAGAGAGCTCATGACCAGCAGGAGAGATCTCATACCCAGATAAAACGAGCTCATGGCTACCCAGAAAGATCCCATAGCCAGTTAGAGAGATCTCGTGGCCACACTGAGCGATTTCATGGTCACTCAGAGAGATCTCGTGATCATTCAAAGAGATCTCATATCCCGTCAGGGAGATCTCATGTCCCATCAAGAAGATCTCATGTCCCATCAGGGAGATCTCCAATTCCATCAGGGAGATCTCATTTCCCATCACGGAGATCTCCTATCCCATCAGGGAGATCTTATTACTCTTCAGGGAGATCTCCTGTCCAGTCAAGGAGATCTCCCATTCGGTCAGGGAGATCTCCTGTCCGGTCAGGGAGATCTCCTGTCTGGTCGGGGAGATCTCCTGTCTGGTCAGGGAGATCTCCCGTCCGGTCAGGGAGATCTCGTTTCTCGTCAGGGAGATCTCCTGTCCCATCAGGGAGATCTTACTACTCATCAGGGAGATCCTATTTCCCGTCAAGGAGATCTCCTGCCCCATCAGGGAGATCGTATTTCCTGTCAAAGAGATCTCCTGTCCCGTCAAAGAGATCTCCTGTCCCATCAGGGAGATCTTATTACTCATCAAGGAGATCTTCTGTCCCATCAGGGAGATCTTATTTCCCCTCAGAGAGATCTTATCTCCCATCAGGGAGTTATTATGGCCAATCAGGGAGATATGGAAGATACTCACCAGTAGAAAGATTCAGAACATCACCCGAATTTGAGTCTCAATTTAACAGGTAAATACATAAATACTTAATCATTAGTACAGTGTGTTGAATAATATGGAAATGGAAGGGCATGCTTACTTTTATTTTAATGGGTAGATACGTGTTTATAACAGATGTTGTATTGGGACTAAGATATTAATAGATTGGAGGTAACACATACATGGCATCAGTATTCTTTCCACTTGCTGACCATCCCTAGTATCATCCAGATTCCCAGTGTGCCCTCATTAACTTGTTTCCTCTAGGTTGGCCTTTCCTGGCAGCATCCCATGTGCTCAGCCTTTCCTACTGAGCCTTCCCGACAATGAAAAGACATAGACTTGGTGTCCCATACCCTTTGAAACTGCCAGCTTTCTAGGCTAGCTAATCTAACAACAAACTATGCTAGACTGATAATATATAATCTCCGATAATGAATTTCTATGTTTCCTTTCTCTGTCTCCTTCCCAAAGAGTCTTCAGAGAGTCCTTAGCACACAGATGATAGGTGCCTCTTTGAGCAGCTGAACTTTTCTGCTTTCCTTTGACTCAGACCATAGGAGAGGATGCTATTCTTTGTGTAAGATACAACACTAACCTTCTGAATATATTTAGAATATAGTGTGTATGTTTACTTGCCTCATAAAACTGTTAGGTTAGATCTGTCTGCCCTAGCAAAAATAAGAAAGAGGAGGGGGAAGAGAGAGAGAGAGAAATTTAATAGTCTTGCAGATTGTTTGAGTTTTAAAAACCACAAGTCACTTGTATTGTGCTTAGGTAATTGAGTAAAGGTTTATTTCCAGTTCAGACTTCTCAGTGATTGCCTTCAGTTTGCATTGCCTATAAATGTCTAGTCAGGTATTTTAGCACATATTAACAATTGCACAAAATTGCTAGTTTTCAGCTGCATTTTCCCCCCCAAAATGTAGGTGTAGGTTATTGTGTATATAGACGATGTCTGATGTAGTCACTATTTTAATGCTAAAGGCCTCATCCCATTTATATTAACAGTACACAAATAATTTGCTATCAAAATTGAAACATGCTTAACACTGATGACAGGTAATTAATATTTCTGCATTCCTTCAAGATTTTTATGTTTTACTTTATTTTATACGGTAATTTTTGTCGGTCGAGTGCCATAATACTTCCATTGAGGTGCCACCATTCCATTTACAACGCCGTATCTCTGTCACTTTCCATCTTGAAAGATAATGAACAATTGTGTTCAGTTGTTTCTCCTTTATCTTCTATTATTATAATTATTTGTATTCTCAGCACAAATAAGTAGTTCTCGCTTGGTTAACATTAAAGTTCTCAAATGCAGAACTATTTATTATAAAAGAACATATAAAGTACAGAAAATTCACATACTCTTATAATTGATCCCCTGGAGATTAATTCTTCTACTCCATCATTTTCCAGTCTAATGCTACACATAAGTGGACCAGTTAGGTGTAAGAATACTCTTCAAACCTGGAGTTGGCTTTTGCACCAAGTATAAAATGAAGACTTTAGGAATTTCATGCCCTCACGTGAAATTTTTCTCTCAGGCCAACTTCACCAGAAGATAAAGACAAACCAGAAGTGTTAAGTACATTTCTGCCTTAAATAAGTCACCAATGTACAAGCCCAGTGTGGTCTGGATAAAAGGTAGCCTCTTATATGATAAGGAGTAAAGAATGATAAAGAAGGATAGCCTATGCAGGACATTATTTATTGGAGATTCGCAATAATGCTTTTCAATTCTGAAAAACCAGTATGATTCTCAAAAACTCTAAAGAGAATTTCTTGTAAGCAAGGTGTGGATTTGGATTTTTAACACCCAAAAATACCGGATCCTTTTCTGAGCTGGTAATTACATCCATAAGCAGATGCCTTTCTTGGCTGAAGTGATATGTAAATGGAGAAGCACGCAGAACAAAAGCTGTCTTTTGTACCCTCCACTCAGTAATTTACATGAAATGAACTGGCAACTGGCAACGTGCACCTATCTTTACATTGGCTGGGCTGGTCCACCTGATGAAAGCTTTTGTAAACACAGATAACAGCTTCAGAGGAAGTGGGCCTCTTAAGTTTCAAACTCCTTGCCAATTAAACTCCAATTACAGAGTGACAGCTGACATTACCACTCCACCATTCCAAGTCATTCCTGGAACAGATTCAAACCCGATGATAACGGACAAATCAGATCTTTGAGTCTAAAATCCCTAATTTACTATGTCTCACTTTGAAAAACAGAAGTCTTTTCAGACTGATTACTTGATTTCCCGATTTTTCTTCCGAGATTCTTCACTATTCCCTGGCCTCATTTGTTACTCAGCTGTTAGTATTTTTCTTATTTCTTGGAAGATGATGCCAGTGAGAATCTGGTCCGTGATTTTTAAGGAAACGGCCCCTCATGGAGTATAAGTAGCACGAGTGAGTGGAAACAACATAAGAATATAAAAACACAGCTTTATGTCCCAATTCTGTCACTAAGTGTATTGGGCAAATTACTGAATGTTTCTAGATCTCAATTTCCTAATAAGTGCAAGGGGAGATTTGGACTGCGTGACTAAAGATCTAGCCCAACTGGAAACATCTTAAGAATTCGTGAATTTTGTTTTTTTCATTTAAAACATTGTAAAAAGCAACAGAAAATGACCATCTTAATCATTTTCAAGTGTACACTTCAGTGATGTTAAGTATATTCACAGTGCTGTGAAACAGATCTATAGAACTTCATCTCACAAAGCTGAAACTCTAAACCCGTTAAATAACTTCCCACTTTCCCTTCACCCCAATCCTTGATAACTACCATTTTCCTTTCTGTTTCTCTGTTTCTGTGCGTTTGACTACTTTAGACACCTCCTGTAAGTGGAATCATGTACTATTCGTGGGGGTTTTTTGTGAGTAGTTTATTTCACTTAGCATAATAGTCTCAAGGTTAATCTATGTTGTAGCCTGGGGCAAGACTGCCTTCCTTTGAAAGGCTGAATGATATTCCATTGTGTGTATATACCAGACTTTATTTATCTTTTGATGGACATTTGGGTTGCTTCTACCTCTTCAAATACCCTCTCTGCTCTTCCCTCCCCTTCTAGGATTCTCATAATGCATATATGGGCCTGCTTGATAATAAACTATAAATCCCTTAGTCTCTCTCCATTTTTCTTTGTTCATTTTTATTTTTGCTTCTCCAACTCAGTGATTTCAAATGACCTTGAAATGATTTCCAGTGACCTCTTCAAGTTTGCTGATTCTTTTTTCTGCCTAATCCAATCTTCTGTTGAATGAATTTTTCATTTCAGTTCTTGTGTTTTTCAGCTCCAGAATTTGTTTCGTTCTTTTTTATAGTTTCTGTTTCCTTGCTGCTAACCCTGTTTTGCTTGTGCATCATTTTCCTGATCTCCTTTAGCCATGCATCTGCGTTCTCTTGTAGCTCATTGAACATCTCTATGACCATTATTTTAAATCCTTTGTCGGGTGGCTCGTGGATCTGCATTCCTTTAAGGTTGATTTCTGGAGTTTTATTTTGGTTGATTGGACCAAGTCTCTGTTTCTTTGTTTGTCTTATAGTTTCTGCTGGGATTTGCACATCTAGAAAAAATAAACACCTTTCCCAGTCTTTAGACATTGTGGCCTTGCGCAGGAGAAGACCGCCCATCTACTGTCTGGGAGTTCTAGCACCTCTCAAGTCTTCTATAATCTCTTGTTCCCCTTGGCATCTGCCTACAGAGCTGCAGCTCTGACGTGCTGCTTGCCTCTCTCTCCAGTAGCTTCCAAACTCTGGCCCCGGTCCCACTGATGCCCTGAGTCTGGTGAGACAAAAGGCTGGCCCCACAGGCAGCCCCCGGAGAAACCAGAACATTCGATACGTGGTCCCCTCTTTCGGTTCTATCCCAAGGGAGGAGCCCTAGTCCGGGAGTTTCCTCTAAATGCGGGGCTTATTCCTCCCCCATTCTCTGGAACCCCTTCTTGGTTTTACGATGGCTCGAGTGCCATAGGTTCTCAGCTGGTCTCTGGAGTTCTTACAGAGGTAGTCTAGTCCATATATTGTTTTTACTCATTTATTTATAACTAAAAACATTTTTTTAATGTTTGTTTATTTTTGAGAGGGAGAGAGTCTGAGTGTGAGCGGGGGAGGGGCAGGGAGACACAGAATCCAAAGCAGGCCCCAAGCTGTCAGCACAGAGCCCGACGTGGGACTTGAACTCATGAAACCGCAAGATCATGACCTGAGCATAGTCGGATGCTTCACCAACTCAGCCACCCAGGCGCCCCTATATGTTATTTTTAAGAGAGTGTCTCTCTTGGGCAGAACGGGCCTGCAGCTTCCCAGCCCACTGCTGTCTTTGTCTGCTTGGGCTGCCGTGACAGAATAGCACGGACTGGCTAGTTGAAACGACAGACATTGGTTTCTCCCAGTTCTGGAGCCCAGCAGTCTGACGTCGGGGTGCGGGCGTGGTCGGGTTCTGGCGGGAGCTCTCTTCCGGGCTTGCGCACAGCCGCCGCCTTCTCTCTGTGCTCTCACCTGGTGGAGGGAGAGCAGAGTCTGGGCTCTTCCTCTTCTTCTTACTTATCGAAATCACTTATCAAAACACTATTCTGTATTTTAATCGCATCTAGTATTCAGTCTTAAGTCAGATGTTTAAATATGTATAATAAAATCATATTGCTTGAAGACATACCTTTTACATCATTTCATTCCGTATAAAAAGTAGCTGTTTTAAAATATCACCATTTATGACTTGTGCCAGGTTTTTAACAATGAAAAGAAGGAACCCACACTCCCAGAAACAGATGTGGTGGAGATATGATCAAATGAACAGGAACCGAAAGGTAAGTAGCAGCCTTTTCATTTTTATAGCACAGATTCTATATAGTTTTTTAAATGTCATTTTCATTTGAATAGGCTTTCTTTTTTTGTAGCCATTTTTCTTCTCATTAGTTTTGGCATCTGCTTACAGTGACGATGACTTTAATATACCAACATCAGTGGAAGAAGAAGCCACATTTGTCAAACACGTCTACACGTTTCCACCCATATAGTACAATGGCTTGAAAAGGTTCCCCCTTCCCACCCGTTGCCCTCCTCCTACTTTATATTATTTAGCTTCTAAGTGGGCATGAGACAAAAATGAGTTGGGTGGTACAAATAAAACGTATTAATAGCATGTATTATTATTTGTAAGTAGGCTCCACACCCAGTGGGGGGCTTGAACTCCTGGCCCTGAGATCCAGAGTCACATGCTCCACCGACTGAGCTAACCAGATGCCCCGGTAGCATATGTTATCTTAAAACAATCTTGTACAAGCATCGAATTCCCAGGGCATTGTCTTTATTTTATTTATAACTTACTCAAGTGCTATGAATAACAGATTTAACTGACTGAATCAATATACAGCAGTTCTTGTAACTATTTTCCTGGAAACTTCCATCTTTAATACCAAACTCATGTGTTTGACCTAAGTATTTAAGTGAAAAGTTCTCTTGAGTAGATGGAGTTCTTACATGAGCTACCTAATACTTATTCCTACACATGCCACTCTGGTACCTTCCCAGTACCTCTTCACCTATAGCAAAACACAGGGTAGCTTAGATGGCAATGTGATATAATGTAAACTGTACCAGTCTGAGTCAGAGAGACATCGTGTCCTGGCTAATCTACGTACTAGCTATGTGTATGACCTTGAACAAGTCCCTTCCCCTGCTCTCCGTATCAGTTTTCTTTCCCCTATAAATAAGATTAGAATGAAGGACGTCGACAGGATATCTAAAGAGATCTAAGTGGTACGGTGAAGTGACTAATGACAAAGCCTTTTACTCACATGTGAATGGAATCATATTTCTACCACTTCCTACCAGTCTAATCAATTTCAAGATACACATGCTTTTGTCAGTTTTAATATCGCCGAAATCAGGAAGTACGTTACATTCACTATGGTATATCATAGTTAAATTGAGAAGCTTAAAAACTTTTTCAGCGCGCCTGGGTGGCTCAGTCAGCTGAGTGTGTGACTCTTGATTTCGGCTCAGGTCATGATCCCAGCGTCATGGGATCCAACATGCATCAGGCTCCACGCTGAGCGTACAGCTTGCTTAAGGTTCTCTCTCTCACTTCCTCTGCCCTGCTCCCCTGCGCGCTCTCTCCCTCAAATAAATAAATAAATAAATAAATGCCTTTTCAGTGATAGGCAAAATAACAGTACGTTTTATAATCATGGTATCTTGGATTTGATGAAGTATAGTAGCTGAGGAACCCTAGGCAAGTCCCTTTGAGCTTGTTTTCTCAGCTATAAAATGGCAAGAATATTGATCTTATAGGCTGTTGTGATGATTAATTGAAATATATGTTAACATTTAGGATAGAGGTGGGATTATGGTGAGCATTCTATAAATTGGAGTTATTATTTTATTATTACTATGATGATCATATCAAATTATTTATTATAATTATAAAATGTTCATTATGGCCATATAGATATGGTTACTTTAAAAATCAATGGCTTAAAAAAATTTTTTTTAACATTTATTCATTTTTGAGAGACAGATATGAGTGGAGGAGGGCAGAGAAAGAGGGAGACACAGAATCTGAAGCAGTCTCCAGGCTCCAAGCTGTTAGCCCAGAGCCCGACACAGGGCCCGAACTCACGAACCGCGAGATCTTGACCTGAGCCAAAGTTGGCCACTTAACCACCCAGGTGCCTTCCATGGGTTTTTAAAAGTCTTTACATTCTGGGGCACCTGGGTGGCTCAGTCGGTTAAGCATCTGACTCTTGATTTCAGCTCAGATCATGATCTCACAGTCATGAGACTGAGCCCTGCATCAGACTCTGTGCTGGGCATGGAGGCTGCTTGGGATTCTCTCTCTCCCTTTCCCTCTCCCCCCTTGCTTTCATGCTCTCTCTCTCTCAAAATAAATAAATAAAAGTCTTTACATTCTAATTAATTTCGTAGAATCGATAGGTAGATAGATAGATACATACATACATACATACATATTCAAGAGATTTTCAGTGTGAAATAAAACTTCCCCTTGAGAATATAGGGGCAAATATGAACATTTTTTTGAAATGTTTTATTTATTTATAGGAGAGAGAGAGAGAGAGACAGCGTGAGCAGGGGAGGGTCAGAGAGAGAGGGAGTCACAGACTCTGAAACAGGCTCTAGGCTCTGAGCTGGCAGTCAGCACAGAGCCCGACGCGGGGCTTGAACCCATGAACCGCGAGATCATGACCTAAGCGAAAGTCGGACGCTTAACCGACTAAGCCACCCAGGCGCCCCAAATATGAACATTTTTAAAATAGGAACAAAATCTCTAATAGGCTTCCACATGGATACAGCTACAACCTCATAAGTGTTTCTGTTTGCCATTCGTTTCTTGAATCTGACTTCAGTTCCTAGCATTCTAACAAATATTTTTAGTACTGCTTTGTGGTCAAAGTCAATGTTCTTTTCTTAGTCTTTTCTTTCTCCACTTCCTTGTAGTATTTCATTTCTTATTTGACACCTTTGAGCTCTTATTACATGCCAGAAATGTGCTATGTACTTGGGAAAGAAAGAAAAGGAAGGAAGGAAAGAAAGAAAGAGAGACAAGGAAGGAAGGGAGAGAAGGAAAGAATGAGGGAGGGAGACAGACACACACACACACACACACACACACACACACACACACACAGAAGCATGGCAAAAATACTTAGCGGTGGGCCCAAGGTACAAACCAGCTAAGGAAATCATCTGAGGGGAGAGAGTTGAATTGTAGAGGCTGAGTAGAAGTAAGCAAAGCAGAAGAGATGCGAAAGGCATTCCAGCCAGAGGAAACGACATGATTAAAGTTACAGAAGTGGGGCGCCTGGGTGGCTCAGTCGGTTGAGCATCTGACTCTTAATTTCGGTTCAGGTCATGATCTCAGAGTTATGGGATTGAGCCCCGCAGCAGGCTCTGTGCTGAGTGTGGAACCTACTTAAGATTCTCTCTCTCTCCCTCTCTCTCTGCACCTCTCCCCAACTTTCTAGAAAAAACTAAAGTTACAGAAGTGAAACAAAGCATGGCATGTTTGGTAAACTGCAATTAGCTTGGTGTGACCAGACTGCAGTAGTTTTCTAACTTTGTACTGCAGAGTTCGAGGGGTTTTGAAGAGGTGCCTTAGGAGCCCACGAAGGCAGTTTTGCTTTTCAGTATTTTGCAATCCTGGGATACCAAGTTTGAAAAATCACCGAGCCCAAGTGTAATGTGTGTGGGCAGAGCTGATGAGAGGTGAGTGTGAAGAGGTAGTGTGTCAGGAGACAGTCATGCTGGAGTATGGATTTTATATCGAGGGCCGTGTAGAAGTATGGAAAGACCTTAAGGAAGGAACTGGCATTGACCAATTTATCGTTAGAAATAATCGCATGTAATCTCAAATACCTTTCTTAACAATAGTTTCAAGTTCCAATTCCTGTTCCTTTCCCCCCATTTCATTGTATTCTCTTTTCTTCTACTTTGGCTTCATCCATCTCAAATTCAGGGCTGCCGTCAGTAAGTAGCATGTTTCCATGTAAACACTAAGATGTGCTTCCAGCCTAAACATGAACTTTCCAATAAAAGGCTATTTGATCTGTACCCATTAACTTTGAAGAATACCTGCATGTGTTAACGGTGCTTTTTTTTTTTAAAGTTTTTATTTATTTTTGAGAGAGAGAGAGAGAGAGACAGCATGAACAGGGGAGGGTCAGAGAGAAAGGGAGACACAGAATCCGAAGCAGGCTCCAGGCTCTGAGCTGTCAGCACAGAGCGCGACGCAGGGCTTGAACCCACGAACCGTGAGATCATGACCTGAGCCGAAGTCAGATGCTTAACCGACTGAGCCACCCAGGCGCCCCCTATTTTTAATTTTTTGAGGAAACTCCATACTGTTTTCCAGAGTGGCTGCACCAGTTTGCATTCCCAGCAGCAGCGCAAAAGAGATCCTCTTCCTTCTCATCCTCACCAACATCTGTTTTTGCCTGAGTCATTAGTTTTAGCCATTCTGACAGGTGTGAGGTGGTATCTCATTGTGGTTTTGATTTGTATTTCCCTGATAGTGAGTGATGTTGAGTGTCTTTTCCTGCCTGCATCTGTTAGCCATCTGGATGTCTTCTTTGGAAAAGTGTCTGTTTGTGTCTTTTGCTCACACTTCTTCACTGGATTATTTGTTTTTTGTGTGTTGAGTGTGATAACTTCCTTATAGATTTTGGATACTAACCCTTTATCTGATAGGTCATTTGCAAATATCTTCTCCCATTCCATCCGTTGCCTTTTAGTTTCATTGACCGTTTCCTTCGCTGTACAAAAGTTTTTATCTTGATGACGTCCCAATAGCTCATTTTTGCTTTTATTTCCCTTGCCTCCGGAGACATGTCAAGTAAGAAGTTGCTGGGGCACCTGGGTGGCTCAGACGGTTAAGCGTCCGACTTCGGCTCAAGTCATGATCTCACGGTTCGTGGGTTCGAGCCCTGCGTCAGGCTCTGTGCTGACAGCTCCGAACCTGGAGCCTGCTTCAGATTCTGTGTCTCCCTCTCTCTCTGACCATCCCTTGCTCACGCTTTCTCTCTCTCTCAGAAATAAATAAAACATTTTAAAAATTAAAAAAAAAAAGAAGTTGCTGTGGCCGAGGTCAAAGAAGTTGCTGCCTCTTTTCTCCTGTAGGATTTAGGCGTTTCATCCATTTTGAGTTTATTTTTGTGTATGGTGTAAGAAAATGGTCCTGGTTCATTCTTCTGCATGTCACTATCCAGTTTTCCCAGCACCATTTGCTGAAGAGACTGTTTTTTTCCATTGGATACTCTTTCCTGCTTTGTGGAAGATTAGTTGGCCATATATTTGTGAGTCCATTTCTGGGATCTCTGTTCTACTCCACCAATCTATGTGTCTGTTTTTGTTGCCAGTACCATACTGTCTTGATGGTTACAGCTTTGTAATACAGCTTGAAGTCTGTAACTGTAACATCTCCAGCTTTGGTTTTCTTTTTCAGGGTTGCTTTGGCTATTCGGGGGCTCTTCTGGTTCCGTACAAATTTTGGGATCATTTGTTCTAGCTCTGGGAAGACTGCTGTTGGTATTTTGATTGGGACTGCATTGAATGTATAGATTGCTTTGGGTAGTATCGACATTTTAACAATATTTGTTCTTCCAGTTCATGAGCATGGAATGTCTTTCCATTTCTTTGTGTCTCCTTCAGTTTCTTTCATAGGCTTTCTATAGTTTTCAGCATACAGATCTTTTACCTCTTTGGTTAGGTTTACTCCTAGGTATCTTATGGTTTTGGGTGCAATTGTAAATGGAATTGATTCCTTGATTTCTCTTTCTGCTGCTTCATTATTGGTGTATAGGAATGTAGCTGATCTCTGTACGTTGATTTTAGATCCTGTGACTGCTGAATTCACATATCAGTTCTAGCAGTTTTTCGGTGGAATCTTTCTGGTTTTCCACTTTAGAGTATCATGTCATCTGTGAAAAGTGAAAGTTCGACTTCTTCCTTGCCAATTTGGATGTCTTTTTGTTGTCTGATTGCTGAGGCTAAGACTTCCAACACTATGTTGAATAACAGTGGTGAGAGTGGACATCCCTGTCGTATTCCTGATCTTATGGGGAAAGTTCTGTTTTTCCCCATTGGGGATGATATTAGCTGTGGGCCTTTCATATATGACCTTTGTGATGTTATGTTCCTTCTATCCCAACTTTCTTGAGGGCTATTATCAAGAAAGGATGCCTTATTTTGTCAAATGCTTTTTTTCCACGAAAGGATCATATGGCTCTTATCTTTCCTTTTATCAATGTGGCGTATCATGTTGATTGATTTGCAAATATTGAACCAGCCCTGAAGCCCAGGAATAAATCCCACTTGATCATGGTGAATAGTTCTTGTAATGTACTGTTGAATTCAATGTGCTAGTATATTGTTGAGAATTTTTGCATTCAGCCTCATCAGGGATACTGACCTGTAATTTTCCTTTTTAGTGGGGTCTTTGTCTGGTTTTAGCTATCTTTTTAAAAAAAAAGTTTAAGTAATCTCTACTCCCAACATGGAGCTTGAACTCACAACCCAAAAGTCAAGAGTTGCACAGTCTTTTGACTGAGCCAGCCAGGCACCCCCTATCTTAAATACAATCAGTATCACAAGTTTATTACGTAAAAATTATAAGGACACACTTTGTGGATTTTATCTACAGTTATTATCTTTCCTCTAGATCCAGGAAGTACTGTGGTATTTGACTTTTCCGAGTCCCCATTTCCTAATTTGTTATGTGAGGGGGTTGGACTGCTTCATCTCTAAGGACCCACTGGCTTTGACATTCTTGCAATTGTGAATAGGGGAGAAAAATCTGAAATTGAATGTTAGATGGAGGATCAAGCAAAGAGAATATTGTCACTGAAAATGTTAGTCAATTTAAAATAAAGAAAATAAGCATCTTGTGCTGAGTAAGGACGGCTTTTGCATAATTTGTTTCCACTTTTCCCATTTAGATGTCACTAGAAAATGGCCACAGATTCCGCGAAAATGATCGAAGACGTAAGAGGTAATTGCAGATAGACATCAGTACAATAGATTTCATTCTTCTTAGGAGAAAAGTGAAACAAAAACAAAGGTAACTTACAGGGGGAGGCTTCTAGAATGATCCTGAAGAATCCATACCAATTTATGTTAATAATCCTAATATTGAACCAGAAAATTCACGATTAAAACGGCCAGGCTTGATTTAGTGGTTATGCTTGAGATTTCCGGGTTTCCTGTCTCCTTAAAGTGGGTAGGAATTGCCACCCTGAAGAATTTGGTACCATGAAGAATTTTCATTATTTAATCTTAAGATTAAAACCCTCTGCTCCTTATAATATATACCAGACATACTAAGTAAATTTCAATGTTCCAAAGTCCTCAAGCATGGAGGACTTTGCCGGGTGAAATTGTCAGGTGCATTTGTGTAACCCTTCAGAACCACAGCCATGAAAGAAGGAGTCTTGTTACACTCCCTTTAAAATGGGCCTCACCACAGGCATCCACGGAAGGGCTCAAAGAGCTGTGGACATAGGAGCAGATTCATGGGAATAGATAGCATTTACCGAGTGCCTATTATGTGCTCGGCCCTGCACTAAGCAATCCCGTGAGGTTGGTATGAACATTTCCATGTTACAGATGCATAAAATAAGCTCCAGAGAGTATATTAACTTCCTTGAAGCAATACGACTAATAACATAACTCAGATTTTGAATAATGTATTCAGCATTGGTTTGTGTGGCTACGAAGCTGTGGGCTTTCTACTCTTGTATATTGTCCCTCCACAAGTACAAGTGGACGAGGTTAACTTGTTTAAAAGCCTAGCTTATTAGTTTTCTGTTGCTGCTTAACCAAATCACCACAAACCGCTGAAAACCATACTCCTGTATTATCTCAGAGTTCTGTAGCTTAGGCACCCAGGCATGCCGGGCTGGTTTTCTACCTAGGGCCTTGTGGGGCTGAAATCAGGCTGGCCCTGGGATGGACTCCTGTCTGGAGGCTCTGGGGAAGAATCTGCTTCCAACCTCTTTCTAGTTGTTCCTTGAGGCTGTAGGAGTGAGGTTTTCCATTTCCTTGCTGGTTATCAGTCAGGGGTCACTCTGTTTCTAGAGGGAGCCTGAATTCCTGTTCATGCGGCCCCTCCATCTTCAAACCAGCAACAGCATGTCATGTCCTTCTCCCTATTTCTTTCCCTCCCTCCCTCCCTCCCTCTCTTTCTTCCTTTCTTCCTTCCTTCCTTCCTTCCTTCCTTCCTTCCTTCCTTCCTTTCTTTCTTTCTTTCTTTCTTTCTTTCTTTCTTTCTTTCTTTTCTTTCTTTCTTTCTTTCTTTCTTTCTTTCTTTCTTTCTTTCTTTCTTTCTTTCTTTCTTTCTTCATTCATTCAAGATTTTTGTTTTAAAGTGATCTCTACACCCAACGTGGGGCTTGAACTCACAACCGGGAGATCAAGAGTCTCATGCTCTGGACGCCTGGGTGGCTCAGTCAGTTAAGCGTCTGGCTTCGGCTCAGGTCATGATCTCATGGTTCGTGGGTTCGAGCCCCGCGTCAGGCTCTGTGTTGGCAGCTCAGAGCCTGGAGCCTGTTTCAGATTCGGTGCCTCCCTCTCTCTCTGACTGTCCCTTGCTCATGCTGTCTCTCTCTCTCTCTCTCTCTCTCTCTCAGAAATAAATAAAAAACATTAAAAAATTTAAAAAAAAAAAAAAGAGTCTCATGCTCTACTGACAGAGCCAGCCAGGTGCCCCTCCTTCTTACTCTTTCTCCTCTCTTTTGCTTTTATCGTGTGATTAGATTAGGCCAGCCCAAATAAACGAGGATAATCTCCTTATTTGAAAGTCCACTGAGTTAACTACAAAATAAATAAGTAAAATTTAAAAATATAGTTCGTGGACCTGTAACTTGAATTACATGTATAAGGTCTCTTTTGCCAGATAAGGTAGTATATTCATGATGTGCTATCTCATCATAGTCACAGTTCTGATGTAATTCTTTGGGGAACTCTTTTTGGAATTCTGCCTGCCACATCTAGAATGTTATAATTATCTTCTTTTAAAGTTAACAATGTAAGGGCACCTGAGTGGCTCAGTCGGTTGTGCGTCCGACTTCGGCTCAGGTCATGGTCTCACCGTTCGTGAGTTTGAACCCCGTGTCAGGCTCTGTGCTGACAGCTCAGAGCCTGGAGCCTGCTTCGGATTCTGTGTTTCCTTCTCTCTCTGTGCCTCCCCTGCTCATGGTCTGTCTCTCTCTCTTTCTCTCTCTCTAAACTGAATAAACTTAAAAATAATTAACAGTGTAATATATTGTGTTCAGTAAATAAATAAAACATACATATTCTGTGGCATCCTGTTAAAGGAAAGAGAACATGTGTCTAAAAGTTAATTAGGAAACCAATATCTATTTAATTCCTCAGAGCAGTCTCTCTTTTTTCCAAGTCAAACCCTGGTCTCGGTCAATTGGGTCCCAGCAGGAGCAGTGTTTATAACCAGAAAAAAAAAGCTACAGTGAAAAAAAGACCTGACTTGTTTAAAACCACTGACTACAACAACTTAACTGACAATATCAAGATAACCCCATAGCAGTTAGGCTTTCATTATTCTCTGCCTCTTACAGAGGGTGACTACATATGGTCTCAATGTCTGTGTCCCCTCCCCCCAATATTCATATGTTGAAACCCTGATGCCCAGTGTGATGGCGTCAGGAGCAGGACCTTTGAGGGGTGATTAGATCACAAGGTTGGAGCCAGTGGGATTAGTGTTTTCATAAAAGAGACCCCACAGAGCTCCCTGGGCCCTTCCTCCGTGTGAGGACATAGCCGGAAGTTGGCAGTCTGTGATCCAGAAGAGAGCATTCATTAGAATCTGATCGTGCTGGCACCTTGATCTTGGACTTAGCAGCCTCCAGAACCACGAGAAAGAAATTTTTGTTGCTTATGAGCCATCCAGTGATTTTCTTATAGCAACCCAAACGGACAAAGACACTACAGGTGGCAAACATCTTCCCTTGAACTCTATAGCCACCCATTACAAAAAAATCTGTGCTGTTTATTTTCATGAAGAGCCGTTACGATAAGAACCAGATCTACCATCAGCCATTCAGGAGGCCCTAGGTAGAGGCCACATCTGCAGTGTGGCAGAATAAAAATTTTAGGATTGCCAGGCTGCTGCTTCTATCAATTTCTGTGTATCCACATGTTTCACCTACTTAAAAAAACCTTTTTTTAAGTTTATTTGAGAGAAAGAGAGAGAGAGAGAGCACAAGCAGGGGAGGGGCAAGGGAAGGGCGGGGTGGGGGAGAGAGAGAATCCCAAACAGGCTCCATGCTGTCAGTGGAGAACCCAATGCAGGACTGGAACTCAAGAACCGAACTGTAAGATCATGATCTGAGCTGAAAGCAGGAGTTGGACGCTTAATTGACTGAGCCACCTAGGTGCCTCCAGCTACTTTTTAAATAACTTTACTGAGGTATAATTTTCGTGCCATAAAGCCCATCCACTTAAAGTATACAATGCAATGGCTTGTAGTATATTAACAGAGTGTGTCACCATCACGATAATCTAATGTTAGAACATTTTCATTAGACCCTAAAGAAACTCCTTGTACCCATGAGTAGTCACTCCCCATTAACTCCCTTACCTCCCTCCCCACCCCAGCCCAAGGTGCCTACTAATCCATTTTCTTTATATGTAGAGGCTGTGGCTACTTTTGTTCCAAAATGCTTCTAGGTATGACCATACTGAAATAATAGCAAAGCTGCTTTGGCATTTAAGGGTAGAAAAACTCACTTCATGGTTTTGAAGTAACAATATAAAAAAGGCTAGATTAATGCATGCAAGTGATTTTGTTAGATGCTATGCAAACATTCCTGGATTCAGTACTTGGAATCTTAATGTTGATCCTGAAAGGAACTTTGAAGCTTCTTGAGTAAAACTTCTTCATTATGTAGCTGGTGGAAATGAGACCTAGAGAGGTTAAATTGAATGGCCCAAAGTTGCTCATCTAATTAATGCCTGTCAGATACGTTTTTAGTAAATATTATACTTAATTGACAGAAACATGAGACGTGCTGCTAAAGCTTTACTGCTAAGAAATAAAAATACTTCAACCAAGAATTCTCCACAGCAGTCCAAAGAAATAGAAGTGAAATTCAACTTTCAAGCAACCGGTCATCAGGTAAATGTAATAGAATTGCACCATAAGCTTTGCCCATGAGATGTTAAAGAATCCATGTGTAGTTTGAGGATATACAAGGGTTATCTTTTAGGTATAGGAAAAAAAAAGTGGCTAACCAAAGCCTATCTGGAGCCCTTTAATACACAAGAAGTTTCTTCCCTGTATTTCACTTTTGCTGAGGACACAAAGGTCAAGAAAATAAGCTGACCTCAATTACTCATTTTCAAAATGAACTTCAAGTCAGCCATGGATTTAGCCCAGTCTACTGTGAGTTCACATCTGTAGTGGCCTTAAGGCTCAACATGGTTCTCATTTTCTAAGGAGACACTGTATTTACCAGACTGTATACTACAGCAAAAACAAAAAGGCTAATGTATTTTTTTTTTAAGATTTTCACAGCAGAGATTGCAATCAGAAGAATTATCTGCCCACTTTTAGTTAGCAACAGGAGAAATTAACCAGAGCGCCCTGTTCTACTCATATTCTAATTAATTCGGTTCTGCATAAAAGCATATGACTCGGAATTGGAAAATGGGCGATATATAGTAATGGGTAGACTGCCTGTGCCTCAGAGCAGTATCAGTCTGGCTTCTGGTTTAGGTTTTGGGATGGTGTTAAAAGGCCCATTTCTTGAAAATGGAGAAAGAAATGTCGGCTCAGTGACAGTCTATATAAGGAAGAAACTGGAAGTCTTGGGAGATCTTTGATGTATCCCAGCTGGTTATAGACGAATAATACTAATTGGAGTCACTTAACCCGAGGGATGTCTTCACAACGCAGATTACCAAGTTGCTGGGCACAGTCGAGGCATTTAGTCTCCACTGCGTAGAAGCAAGCCTGACCCTCATCCCACTATGGAAGCTTACCCACTTACTCTCTGGCTAATAGTATGCTTTCTTCGTTACCTCTTCAATTAAACCCCTTTGATGACACTATTTAGCCTGTAAGAACCCAAGAGGTGGCCTCGGTGGTATACCACAGGTCAGGCAAAGTCTCATGTTTTTAGGGCCATCGAGAAGAGTGCTGTGTAGTTTCTTCAGACTCGCAGTCTGTCTCTGGTCACTCGCAGTCTTCTCCAGCTACCCCCCCTGTCCACTTTAATAACCAAGTTTCATGAGTATTTTTAAATATTACTCAACCGCTGAAACCATAGCTTTTCTTTCCTTTGCAGACGAAGCTTTCACTCAATGAAAGATTCTCTAAGCTGACAGAGAAGAAAGTACCAAAATCAGTTGTCAATTCTGAGGACCAAAAAGTCCTTCCCTCTTAAAGGTTTGCTGTTAACAGGGATATTGTAATGAGTTAATGCTCAAGGGTATACTTGCAGTGTTTAACTTTGTGCTACTCTTGTCAATGTATTTTTTCTTCCGTGTGCTTTGATGTGCATAACCTGTCAAAAGTGTTTACATAAGAGAAAACAATTTTTCCTTTGTTTGCATAAGAGAAAAAAAAGGTTACTTTGTTTGCATAAAAGAACCGAGAAATGAGTAAGAAGTGGGAAAGGTGATTTGGCATGAGAGATGTTAGGAAGACAGCTAGGTGTTCAGAATGACACACAATAGCAGAGAATTGTTTTTATTTTATTTTATTTTATTTTATTTTGCTTTATTTTATTTTATTTTTTGTTTTATTTTTTTATTTTTTTATTTTATTTTATTTTATTTTTTGTTTTCTTTGTTGAGCTCAAGAACCCACATGTGAATCCTAGAGAAAATATTTCAACAGTAGAGCAAGATTCTTGATAAGTATCTTTGAGAATGAAATATTCTCTGCTTCAAAAGTTAGTAAGATTGAATTCTACTCTTCATTAAGAGGATAAATTTGTATCCAAAGCTTTTCATTTTTGCTTTTGATATGAACTTATAAGAATTTCAAACTGTCCTACTGTAATTTTCTGTGAATGCATTAAGTTAATAAAGGTTAAATAGAAATGTGACTTTTTGCCTTTCCATTCTTACTTGGGGTCCAAAGTAATAATGATCCTGATACACACAGATTATCACAGTGTAATTTGGATGTCAACCGTGTCCAGCTAAGCCTGTTGTTACAATACATACAATACACTAAAAATACTGGTTCATTATTATGTGCTACTTACTTATGTAAGACTTTTAGCCTCATTTAATAAATCTTGTCCTCACATTTATGTTATTTGTGCAAGAAAAATGAAATGCACTATAGAAATATAGGAATAGTTGGATTCTAGTCTGACTCATTTATGCCGTTGTTTTCTGAACCCGATTAACAAATGGTTGAAACATTGAGTTGAAAACCAGAACCATTAACAGTTTGACTCAAGGTGTGTACACTTTCCTGTAGCTTTCCTCCCAGGTTCTAATCTTGAATATGGAGAATAACAATGTGCATAAAGCTTCGTAACCTAATTTGCAGCAAGTGATTTGGGAGGGAATGTTTCTTCAGATCACAAAAACAATACACATTCATTGAAGAAATTTTAGAAAACGCAAAATACCAAAAAAATCCCCACGTGCATAACAACTGTGATCTCTACCTCCATATTTATTTTGTTGACACGAAGATTTCTTCCACAGCAAAGCTTTCTTTCCACAGTATGTATCCAGTTTCCCATTGCTAGACATTCAGGCTGCATCTAGTTTGAGGTTTTGTACGTGAAACTTGTAACGACCATCCTTGGAGCTGTATCTTTGCCGTAGATCTCCAGTTTGTTCCATATGATTATTCTAGAAGTAGAATTGCTAGATAAGAGAGTACTTATTTAGACTGTTACACATATTGATAAATTGCTGTGCAGAACATGTGCAGAATATGAAAAGGCTTGTTTCCTCATACCCTCGTCAACAGAGAATGTGGGATAGATGTACTGTTTTCAGTGTCTTGCTTGCTGAAGGATAATAGCGGGTGAAGAGAAACAGCAGAAGTCAATGAACCTAGTAATACCTTCCAGGCTCCAAAATGGTCTCTCTTCAATATTAACCAGTAGCCATGGTCTCTTTTCTGTATTGAACAGCAGTCTCATAATTCACACATCACTCCCTCTATACCTTGAATAATGAACGGTAGAAATACAGGAGCATAAACAACCAGTTTGGTCAATGCCAAGAGATAAACACTCTGGCTATTTGTCAGTACATGAACCAAGAAACAGGCTGAACTTCCCATGGTTGCCTCATTTGGCCCCAATCATGACATTAATTTTTTAATGTTTATTTATTTATTTTGAGACCCAGAGAGTAGGAGAAGGGGAAGGATAGAGAAGAAGGGAGAGACAACCCCAAGCAGGATGTGGGGCTCGATCCCATGAACCCTGGGATCCTGACCTGAACTGAAATCAAGAGTTGGACCCTTAACGGGCTGAGCCACCCAGGTGCCCCCATAGCATTAACTTTTGGAGGGAGGTCCTCAGACCTGTGTCAACATCACTTGGGAGGTTGGAGGGTCTCCAGCCTCACCCCCAGACATACGGAATGTGAAACTCCAGGTGCGGGCCTCAGCAATCTGGGTGACTGACACATGCTCAATTGTGCGAGTGTACTGCTACTCAGCGGTAGCTCAAATTCCTACCATGTGGAAATCGTAGAGCCTACCCTGTCTCCCTCTCTTCTGATTCGATCTTTCTGCTTATTACTTTTCTGAAGTTTATTTATTTATTTTGAGAGAGAGAAAGAGGTGGGGAGGGGCAGAGAGGGAGAGAGAGAATTCCAAGCAGACTCCTCACTGTCCGTGCAGAGCCCGGCGCAGGGCTCGAACTCATCAACTGTGAGATCACGACCTGAGCCGAGATCGATAGGTTTCTTAGAGATTGGGCTCAGGATTTACCAACAGATCACACTCGATTGATTGGTTTGGGGTGAGGGGGGTAGCGATCATGGAACAACTAGACATGGCAGACGTGCCATTTGAACCAAAATCTCTCAAGTCCCAGAGGCCATGCTCTTAGCCATTATAGCATTGATGCCTTTGCGTCATTAATGTCTCTTTCTGGGATGTCCTTGGGCTTCCTTGCTGACTTTGGATCCTGTCCATCGTTCAAGCTACAGCTCTGCTATGTTAAATGGGTTTAAGTGGGGGGAAACCCTACAAAGTTATCTACGTGATTTGGCCCCTTTGTGATTTGGTCCCTGGCTTTCCTCTCTAATCTTTTTCCCTTCCAGTTTTCTTCCCCCATATACCTTTCCAGCCATACTAGCTTCCTTGTTATGCCTCTAACACAGTAGGATGCTCTCTGCCCCAGACCATTTGCACGTGCATTTCCTTCAGCCTAGGATACTTTTCACCCTACAAGACTCTTCCTCCAGACATTTGCATGGCTCCCTCCCTCTGATCATTTGAGAGGTTCAAATACCCCTTTTTCTACCACCTCAGGGGGCTCTTCCATGACCACCCTATCTAAAACGGCACTGTAATCATTCTGCCCCACTCATCATGCTTTCTTTCTTAAAAACAATTTTTTAAGTAGGTTCCATGCTCAGAGGATCCCAGTGTGGGGCTTGAACTTAAGACCCTGAGATCAAGCCTTGAGCTGAGATCAAGAGTCAGACACTTAAACCACTGAGCCACCCAGACTCCCCCCTGCCCTTATCATGTTTTCTTTTTCTTTACAGCATTTATTGTTATATAGCATGTGATGATATCTTCATTTGTGTATTGCTGCCCCTACTCTTGAATGTAAGCACAATGAGGGCAGGGACTTTCTTGATTTTTTTTCTTTACTGTTTTAATTTTTTAAATATTTTTATTTCACTTTTGAGAGAGGGAGACAGAGAGAGAGAGAGAAAGAGAGGAGAAAGAGCGGAGGAGGGGCAGAGAGAAAGGGAGACACAGAATCCGAAGCAGGCTCCAGGCTCCATGCTGTCAGCACAGAGCCCGACACAGGCCTTGAACTCAGGAACTGAGATCATGACCTGAGCTGAAGTCAGACACTCAACTGACTGAGCCACCCAGGTGCCTCTTTTCTTCACTGTTTTAATCTCCAGTGCCTAACAAAGTGCCTCGTATATAGAAGGTGCTAATAAACCTTTGTTGACTAAGAGTATTGCCAAAAAAATGTATTAAAACTTGGGAAGAAAATGCACCATCATCTTTTAGAATTTGGGAACTACAGGAAGTTGGTGTTACTACTTTTCCAGATTTTACAAATTTTCGGAAATAATCACATTTCACTCATATCAGAAAACATAAACACTTTTGTGAGTAAACTAATGAGCCATAAAAGTACTAAGTTGCCTTTTGGGTTTTGTGCCTAGTGCCTTCAGTTGTGCGGGTTTTCTGTTTGTTGTTTGCTTTGTGGGTCTGGTAGAAAGATTTCCTTGCACCACCTGAGTGCTGCTTCCTCAGCCAGCAGATGGCAGCATAAAACTTCTAAACTATAGCCTTCCTTGAAACTGCAAACCCCCATGAACAAAAAGGAAGGAGGGAAGGGAAAGGAAAGGGAAGGAAGGGGAGGAGAGAAGAGAAGGGGAGGGGAGAAGAGAAGGGGAGGAGAGGGAAGGGAAGAAGAAAGCTACTTTATGGTTAAACAAGTTGTGGAGTGTTTGGAGTTTGGATCCTTCAGAAAATGGATATTTCTAAAAAACAGCCTTACAGCAGTTTCTCAGTGTAGTTCAGACAGATGATCTTCAGGCTGTTTATTTATCTGGGTTTTTTTAAAAGATTTTATTCTTAATCTCTACACCCAAAGTAGGACTTGAATTTACAACCCCCAGATCAAGAGTCACATGCTCTACTGACTGAGCCACCAGGCACTCCTATCTGTTTACTTTTTTAATGTTTATTTATTTGGGGAGGAGGGGCAGAGAGAGAGGGGGACAGAGGATCTGTGAAGCAGGGTCCATGCTGAAAGCAGAGAGCCCGATGTGGGGCTCAAACTCACAAGCCGTGAGATCACGACCTGGGCTGAAACCAAGAGTCGGATGCTTAACCAACTGAGCCACCCAGGTGCCCATTCTTTCCTTTTTTAAATATTTATTTATTTTTGAGAGAGAGAGAGAGAGAGAGAGAGAGAGAGAGAGCTGGAGAACGGGGGAGAAGCAGAGTGAGAGGGAGACAGAGGATTCAAAGCAGGCTCCACGCTAACAGCAGAGAGCCTGATGTGGGGCTCAAACTCATGACGTGCGAGATCATGGCCTGAGCCCAAGTCAGATGCTTAACCAACTGAGCCACCCAGGTGCCCCTGTTGTTTTTTTCTTTCTTAGGGAAAGAGGTCTGAGACTAAGGGCTTAAACAACTTGGCCTTGATCATATAGCCACTAAGTGCAGAGCTAAGACGTAAACAAGGTGTTGGTCTTCTACTTTATGGTTGTGTTTTGCTATATCATGCTGCTTTGCTTTAAGAATATATACCTTTGCCGGGCGCCTGGGTGGCTCAGTCGGGTAAGCGTCTGACTTCGGCTCAGGTCATGATCTCACAGTTCGTGAGTTTAAGCCCCACGTTGGGCTCTGGGCTGACAGCTCGGAGCCTGGAGCCTGCTTCGGATTCTGTGTCTCCCTCTCTCTCTCTGCCCCTCCCCCGCTCATGCTCTGTCTCTCTCTCAAAAATAAACATTAAAAAAATGTTTTTAAGAAAAGAATATATACCTTTGG